GGGGGGGGTCTTCACATATAAATGTCTCTCACTGGCTTTGTTAAAGAGCCAGTCTGTCATCACAATGCGCCTCCAAGGATGCATAGTGACAGCAAGGAATTTCAGTTGTGTGCGCCTGACTCACTGCTCAAATGTCAAGAAATAAGCACTGTTAACAACTCCATCTCATTTGAACCAGGCCGTTGGTAAAAATTTTACCATACTGGAATGTCCTCCAAAAACATAAGTGATACAAGATCGGTAGACACGAGCAACAAGAGAGGCTCTGTTTCTTCACTTCAAGGAAATTTCCTAAATTAGTGTACAGCTGAAAGGTGAGCTCTTTCCACAGGAATGCAAAATAATCACGTACCATCACAGGCTGGAGGACTAACAAGAAAATAAACTGCACAGGTCCACACTTTTCTTCACGAAAGCATGACCTTATTATTCAAACAGGCACTGCTTAATCATATGCCAGTGGTTTTAAGTGGTTGTGTAAACCAGTTAAACACAGAAACATGTAAACAATGTAGGAAATAGAAACAATCACACATTTTGCTTTTTGCAGAGTACATGGCTGCGAGGCACAAATGTTCTGCGTGAGACAGTGAAAACAACTGCATTACATCAGAAATCAACAGAAGAAAAATCATTAAAGATCTCAGGGGAGGTACACTACAAAGCCAGTTTGACACAGCAAAGCTTTCTTTGCATTAGCAGGTTCAACATAACCCTACTGTGTACTGGCATAAAAGTTATGTGAGCACACAAAAAAAGTGTTAGCAAAAAAGATAAAAAGTAAAAGGTGGAGAGTGCCACCTCCTCTAAAATGCTAACAGAGAGCTCTGAACAATACAGAATCACTATTACAGCTAAAAGAAAAATTGACGCAGCAGTCTATAACCACAATGACCCTCGTTCACCTCTCCAGGTATGGCTTTTTATCCACACCTTCACTCTGGGAACAGTTACGAGAATTAAGCATATGCACCACCTACAGACTCTCACACTACCACTGCAAAGCCAGTAATGGTTGGAGTGGCAGGAAACCAAGTCTATAGCACTTTAACTGAACTGCTTCATCAGTGAGATTACTAACTGACGCTGTTAAAAAAAAAAATGCTAGAAATCTTTCACTGTTCTGTAGTATCTAAGCTCTTTATTACACCTTCACAGAGGTGTATGGATCTGGATCTAAGAATGAAGGAATGCAAACCAGTCTCTTTTGCAAAGAGATATTCCCCTACTTTTGGATGATAAACTCGGGAATTCCCACATTCATATGTTAAGAAATAAACATAATTTGAAACTGCTGCCTGCTACAACACATACTTTATTCATCCCATTTTGTTTGTGTGTATTTCTCATCTAATATTCCCACGCTTTCCATAAATGCTAATAGGATCACTCACACCAGATGTGTACTCCTATACTAAGTAATGCTAAAGTTGGCAAGGCATGCCTAAAAGTTTTTAAATGTCGATGAAGGTGTGTAGATCAGCAGCTGTAGAGAGGAGCCACACATAAGCCAACCTGTTAACATGTTAAGCGAAGAAGAGGAACATGTGGGAACATAACACGTTATTTAAAAGACATGTTTTAAGCTCATACAATACTTTCAATCTGCGTATAAACTCGTTCTGTGCTGTGGGGCATGTGCCCCTATCTAAGACATTGTTATCACACTAACACGCACCGAAGAATGCATTTATCTTTGTTTTGCTTTTTTATAGCACACATTACTTTATCTCTGTCTTTTATACATGGTGTACTTCAGCTTGTAAACTTTATAACTATTTGCTTCGTGAGGGAGAAAGTGTAAGAGAGCGTTTTGGATTTTCTGAGAACTCTTTCCTTTTTTTTACTGCGCAAACTTGGAAGCGGTACAGGCGAGGGTGTAACTGCCAAGAGAAGTTTCATTGTTTGACCAAGAGCTCAGTTTGATCACTAGGATAACACAAATGGGAAGCAATATCACAATCACGTCGTTTATGTAACTCACGAGTTAGCTGTCCTCCAAATGTGCCGTGTCACACGCGTTTCGTTATTACGTCCGTGATCGATCTAACCAGTTTAGAAAGTTTCGAAAAGTGGAAGAGAATTCTTACCGCTCCCGAGTCCCAACAGCCTGCATATATCCCTGGTGATTTTCATGAGCGCAACCATCCAGCATTATCGTCCTAAATAGCCCATAAACGTGCTCGGCCAAACGTTCAGGTTAGCACGAACACGTATCTAACATTGGGACAATCGGTATCGAATCTGCGGGAATCTTTGGTGGTTTAATCCACTTCCTGAGCGTCTAACGCCGACGTTGGGTCCACCCTGACTGGCGTCTTAAAGGCACATGACACTGTTATTGATTTCTAAACGGCTGAGACCTTATCAGAGAATGGCTTAACAATGGACCACGTGTTTAAATAACGTTAACAGCGTTAGGTTTAATATCTAATGCAATAGCATGTTTAATTATTATAATGATTATAAACAGATGCAAATATTATAAGATACACTCATTTACTATCCACTAACACAACTTTCCCAAAGAGCCACACGCGAAACTAATAAGTTGATTTCAGTCCTGTTGAATATTAATTTTATGTCATTGTTAATTTATTGGGGCAGTTGTGATACATTAATTATTTAAAAAAATTATTAGTTAATAGCTCACTCATGCTGTAATATAATCTCAGTGTAAATGGATGTATTTTTTAAAAAAGAAGAAGAAGAAAACCCCCAAGATGTCTGTGAAGGTTCTCAGTCATCCAGGTCATCGTAGTCAAAGGAGCTTGCAAAGAAAAGCGTCTGGACTTCTTTAAGTT